GGGAGCGCCGCGGAGCTTCCCTTGGCCGGCGGCCCCCGGGCAGTGGCCCCGGGGCAGGGACCCCCCGTGCGCGGCCCCTCTCAGTGGCCTCCTGCGAGTGGCCGCTGGTGAGTGACCCTCGGGAAGCGACTCGCGGTGATCGACTCTCCGTAAGTGACCCCCGATGCGCGGCCCTGGGTGAACGACGCTTGGTGAGGGACCCCCAAAAAGTTACCCTCGGTGAGGGACCCCCGGTAAGTGATCTGCAGTGAGGGAGCCCCGGTGCGTGGCCCCCGCGGGGTGTCGGGCCGGGGCTGGGCGCCTTCCTCCCCGTCCAGAGCCGAGCGGGGCCGTCGGCGGGGGCAGAGGGGAGCCCTGAGCCGCCTTCTCCTGAGGGGTCTGCTGGAAAGGAGCCTGCGGTGGGAGGAGCAGGGGAAATGAGCTGAGGCTGAGGCAGGGCAGATTCAGGTCAGCTGCTGGAGAAATGTTTTCCGCTGTGTTTTTTGGGTGCTCAGGCACCGGAATAGGTTGCCCAGGTGGAGTCAGCAGCCCAGGAGGTGTTTCAGAGGCGCCTGGATCTGGCGCTGAGTGACAGGGTTTAGTGGTTTAGGGGTTGCTGGGGCAGTGCTGGACTCGGACAGTTGGACTGGATGGAATCCTGGAACGTGCTGAGGTGGGAGGGTCCCCTCGGGACCATTGAGTCCAGGTCCTGATTTTCAGGCACCAAGAAAGTAACTGAATGTGGATCAAATGATTTGGCTCCAGAAAGTCTTCTGCCCCAAGTCTACACTGCAAAGTCAAACAAAAAAGACCATGCAAAATACAGGCCTGTGTTCCCCCCAGAGGGAAGGCAGGCAGTTGCAAAGAGGGCAATAAATCAAAGCTCAGAGCATATGTTCATGGTCACCACACTTGTATGACACACAAAACCAGTCTTCTGTTCATTCCCCATGTAGAACTCTCATCAAGAACTCCAAACTTTCCTGTCTGTATTTGTATGCGTATATATGTATATATGTGTGTGTGTGTGTATATTTGTGTGAGTGTCCCTGGTGGTGCAGTGGCTAAACCACAGCGTTGTCAACGCTGAGATCTGGGTTCGATTCCCGGTTAGGACACTCCCCGGGCAGATGGAGCTCGCTAGCCCTGTAAGGCAATCCATCTACGTCCTGAGGAGCTCGCTGCCACCGTCCAAGCGTGCTTGGCCCCGGCAGATGAACCTCAGGATTAAAGGGTGGGCTCAGTTCCGCGCACACTGTGTCTCACCTAAAAAATCCAATGCGCAGGCTGGAAGGTGGAAAGACCTTCCCCAGTTCTTCGTTTGCGAAGAGACTGTCCATTAATATATTTGTGTCTATCTGTCTAAGATTCTGTATGTTTGGATGCAATATTTGCATGCTATTGTTCTGTGGCAACAAGTGGACTTTAAGGTTGTAACACATGCTGAGATGACCTTTCTGCTTCTGGGTTCTATTTTTTAAAGAAGGCAACACTAAGAGAACTCTTTAGCCAAATATAAGTTAAGACATTAATCAGAGCAAATGTTTTGATTTTTATTTACGATTGTACAAGTCGTTCAACTCTTTGCATACTCAAAAGAGAGGTTTGAAAATTCTCCCTCAGAAAGAAGCAAAACTATTTTGGGAGGCTGTTCCTTCCAACCCTTTCCGAGTTTCCAATAAATGCTGACCATTCTTGAAATGCAAAGCCTGAGAAATGAAACAGGGGTTAAACTGGAATTCTTGCTGCCAGCACTGATCTGGACAGAAGTTCTTAGAGAGTGTAGCAAAGCCAGCAACAGAAATAACCTTTGGCTCTATAGCCCAGCTCTGCATTCATTGGTCATGGCAACAAAGGTTGGCTTTTAAACCCATCTGCTAAGGAAACCTTTGCAGAAATGGGAGCTTCTAATGCTACTTTTCTTCCGAAGTTAGGAGGCCTTAATACAGTGTACACAGATGAGAGCCTGCAAGAGGAGAGAGCCCAGTTCCTGAGGATGGGTGGAGATGAGTTTTCCTAAGGGACTCTTTTCAAATGTGTGGTAGAAGAAACAGGCGTTTCTGTTTGATCAGCTTTCCAGACTAAATCTTTTGGCCTCAGTAGCCAATTGCAACCTGCCCCAGGAAGTGCAGAAACGGCCCCATTCATTAACTACACTGTTGTGTCCCAGAGATCCCACAGAGATTCAGCTCCAGTGCTAAACCCCCCCGAGTGTCAACTGCCATGATAGCTGCTTTTTGGCTTGGTGAGAGTCTCTCTTGTTTTCTTTGGTGTAGCTGGCACATCTGGAGCAAGGGGTCTGGGCCGAAGTACCTCGTTACCAGGGGCCCATACAGATAACGTTCCAACAGTAGCCATGTCTCTCATTAAGGAAGGCAGTTCGATATAGGAATTGATTGTCAGAGGTTTGTAAGAATGCGGTGAAACCTTTTTCTTTCCTTTGGCATCTCACATAATAATCAAGACTAAGCCATGTATTCTAGATTACATCTTGAAAGAAATTTCCAGTTAGCAAGAAGTTTAATGGGTTAGTTTGCCATCAGTGTTTTGATTATGTTTTGCTGAATCTAAGTTCCTAAGGAAGTGCTAAGGGTTTTTTCCTTCCTTCCCTCCACCCCCAAATTTCATGTGACGAGACAGCTATAGAAGAGTTTTTAATAACTTTTAGTTCTGTTTCTCTTGTGGAGCTATAGGCGTTCCTGAGAATGGGTTGGAGTAATGCAATGAATATTTTCATTCCTAGAAGGCATCGTGACAGCCCATCAGGAGAAAAACTTGCTCAAGAAAGAAAACACAAACCCAGCCCAAATGATCCTCAACCGTTATCTCAAGTGCAGTTGGGGAGAGAATGGTGAGAGAAGCTGATGACCCTAATGAGTCCTTGTATTTCCAAGTGGTTCCTACTTCCTCCTCAAGTTGCTCCATTCCTGTTAAACTTCCCTCTGGTAATAACAGAGTGTTGTAGTGCCCTGCTCTGGAAAGCTCATGGAAAATCTCCTGGAGCAACAGATGCCAAAGGAGAGTCCTTCAAGATTTTTAAGGCTGAGAGTTTGCCAGGTGGCTTGGGCTAAAACACAGTCCTTCTTGCAATAAAGGCAAGTGAATCCTAAAACCTGGGAAAATTTGTAGTTCCTTCAAGGAAGAAAATATCTCCTGAGCTTTGGAAAGCAGGTATGCTGGCAGCTGTGTGTTCCCAGCTGACAACTCCTGCTGGAGCAGGATTGATGACTGATAACCCTGTTCTCCCTGCGCTGGGTAGGTGTTGGTGGGGTGTTGTATTGCAGCTGGAAACAGCCACGGCTATCTGTGGCTTTACAGAGAGCAAAACATTTGACAGTAGCTCCCCTCCAGAAAGCAGATTATTCTTACAGACTTTGTTGACGAGGAGGTTTCAGAGACATACATACATGACCTAGGAGATCTAAAATATGTCCGATTTATTAGGATAGCTCAGGGTTTTTATAGCATCTGTATACAAGGTCTCGTGACAAGAAGCACATAATTGGTTCCAGGTCACTGTCCAGATGTAAACGTGCATGACAAATACCTTTATAA